TGTTGCTGCTAAAGGGGCCAGGTGTCTGTCATTCAGAAATGAGAAAGCCAGCTGACCCCCTTTGTTGTGCCACAACACTTCCTTGGCCAGGACCCCCTTCTTGCCAAAATCATGAAGCTTTATGCTCAGTTCACCGAGTATATAGAAGAAGAAGAAGAGGAGGAGGAGGAGATTGGATTTATACCCCACCCTTCACTACCCAAAGGAGTCTCAGAGCGGCTTACGAACTCCTTTCTCTTGCTGAGAGAGCTCTGACAGAAATGGCTCTTTTTCAAGGACAGCTCTGCCAGAACCATGGCTTGCCCAAGGTCATCCAGCAGGTGCAAGTGGAGGAGTGGGGAATCAAACCTGGTTCTCCCAGATTAGAGTCCGCGCACTTCACCACTGCACCAAACTGGCTCTCTTCCATGCTCTCCCATGCGCCTGACGAGGTGGGTCCTGGCGTGCAGAGGCTCCTGCCGGAAGAAACCTGCCCATCTTTCGGGAGCCTCCCACGTGATGCCTTGTTGTTTGCCTCGGAGTAGTCTAGCTGAGCTGTCTGTCTGGAATGCATTATTCAAGGTGTTTTGTCCCTCTTCCTACCACAACACCTTCTTCCCTTGATCGAAGCGCCTGGAGTGGTGAGGCTCCAGACTTTCTATGCAAAACCCCGAAATTCCGGGGGGGGGAATGTAAATTTTGGCGAGAAATGTGCTGTGCCTCCGTGTGTCTGAGTTACGGAGTTGCAGCAGACAAGGGACTCTATGGAGCTCGGGAGTTTCACCGGGTAGTCGTGTTAGTATGTAGCAGAACCGCTGGATCCGCGCCCAGGAGCACCTTAGGGAGCAGGATATGAGCCTTCGAGAGCCGGAGCTCCCTTCGTCAGATACAAAGGTAGGGGATGCACCCTCCTTGTTTCTTCTTCCAGAAAATGGACATATTTATTTGCACGTACATATTTACATTATTTATATTCCACGTTCCACCTCTGAGCTGGTGTTCATGAAGTGGTTCCTAGAAAGTCTGCATGAAGTCTTTGAAGGCTTTGGGCTCGCGGCGGCCCTGGTGAGTGATGCGGCGTAGCTGGGAAGGTGAAACCAGGTGGGGGAAGCAGGGGGTGCTTTGGGGGTGTTCTTTTTCCTGAGCAGTTTTCAGTTTTTTCCAGTGGAAGAACTGGAAGTTTCAGTAAACACGGAAAGAAACTAAGAATTGCCATCCCTTTGGAATGAATAAAATGCTTTTAAAGGCAAGGTTTTACACGTTCACAATGTATCGTGTGAAGACTTTATGTGTAAGGCCGCCCACAGCATTAGCAAGTAAGACTTCCTGTGTATTCTTTCGGCCCGTACAACCCATTTTCAAGCATATGTCGTATGAATGTGACTAGTTTTGTCCATAGTTAATCTGCTGAAATGTGCATGATGGTACTGAAGAGTTCACTGTGTTTTGAAGTTTAGTGAACTTGTTGCTAGGTCTGTGTTGAGTGTATGGTGGTTAGATAGATCCACGGAGGATAAGTCTGTCAGTGGCCATGAGATGGAACACGCCTGCTTTGACTTGCAGACTCGGCTCTGCCCACCCCTCTTTGCCATTGCCAGCTTTCACTAGGGTAACTCACTGCCACCACCTGTCCTTTTTTTTGGGGGGGGGGGTTTCCTGCTAGGAGGGACAGGGCTCCCGGCTCCCCCTTTCCAACCTGAGGGGGTTCCTTCTTTCACTAGGGTAACTCACTACCACTACCTGTCCTTTTTTTCCTGCTAGGAGGGACAGGGCTCCTGGCTCCCCCTTTCCAACCTGAGGCCCTGCCTGTATGTCCTCCGTTACCCAGAGCCTGGTTACCACACGGACCAATGATAACTTTGGGGCTCCCCTGGAGAGGATAGGCATGTGCGCGCTGACTGCTTTTTTCCCCACCCAGGGGTCCCTCTTGCACTCGTGTGTCCGAGACGGTGGGGGAAACTAGGTGGTACAGAGACCGAGAACCAACCTCCAGAGTCAAGACAGATTTATTAAAAAGAAAATATTTACAATTATCTTTTAGCACAACACTAAATCAGCAAACGGATCTCAAAAGGAAATTGGTCCTAAATGCAGTCCTCTTGCCCTTTTCTAGACATACCATAACGGAGGTTCACATAGGGCAGGCACGGATGATCTTAAAAAGTCACAGGGTTCCTGTCTGTGTCCCATTACCTGGGAGACCACATGGCCAGCAAAAGACGGCTGCCACAACATCTGACCATCCCTTGGAAGTCTGTTCCCTTCGAAGAATCAGCACCAAGAGAGCCCTCCTCCTCCTCCTCGGAGGGCCCCCCTCCACCCCCTTTACATCACTCCCTCTTGACCAGTCCGCCCAGGTCCTGGGAGCCCTCCTGGGAGGTATTCTGGGAAATCTCCAGGAATCGTCTGGAGACTTCCTAGCCCCACATTCCTTAGTTGGTTTCCCTACCAGGGCTATTAGCATATGTATAGATGTAATCTGGAGCTGCGGTGGCTCAAGTGGTTAAGATGCTGAACTGCAGGCTGTGGAAGGTCGGTAGTTCAGCAGTTCGAGACCCGAGTGTGCCGCATGACGGAGTGAGCTCCCATCTCTCGTTCCAGCTCCTGCCAACCTAGCAGTTCGAAAGCAAGAAATTGCAAGTAGATAAACAGGCACCACTTTGGTGGGAAGGTGACAGCGTTCTGTGCACCTTGGTGTTTAGTCATGCCGGCCCCATGACCACGGAAATGTCTCCGGACAGTGCTGGCTCTTCAGCTTGGAAACGGAGATGAGCACCGCGACCCTAGAGTCGGATCCGACCAGCTTTCGAGCAAGGGAACCTTTACCTTTACCTTTTTAGATGTAATCTAGCAGGCAACTGAACTGTCTCCCTGCTACTTCCAGAGAGGGGGAAAAACCCTACCCTTTTAAAACTTGGGGTTTCTCCACACCAGCTACTAGCTGTGGCAACTGAGGGGAACCTCCACATTCAGAGGCACTAAATCTATGAATCCCAGAGCCAGGAGGCAACAATAGGGGAAGGCCTCGGCCTCTCTGCCGTGTTGTTGGCCGTCTAGAGCAGTGGTGTCAAAGATGCGGCCCGGGGGCTGGATTAGGCCCCCGGAGGGCTTCTATCAGGCCCTCAGTGGAACTGGCTGTCTTCTGCTTTTTTTTCCAGTTCTGCTGCTGCTGCTGTGTCATCATAGGTTTGCAGCTTACAGATACACACCTGAACAGCATACTCAAGATTCCAACAGCACAGAAATTTTGATGCAATAATTCAGAGCAAGAGGTGTCAGTTATCAGACACTGTTAAATAAACAAAATATTGCAAGAGTGCTAATGTTTTTAAAGCCCTTTGTGTTTGTGTCCTTGCAGTTTATATCTCTGCTACCTGGCATTGCTTATTATGACACACATGGCCCGGCCCAACAATGTCTCATTTATGTCAGATCCGGCCCTCATAACAAATGAGTTCGACACCCATGGTCTAGAGGAACTGGTTGGCTGCTGTGTAAGATAGGATGCTGGACTAGATGGACCATTGGTCTGATCCAGCAGGGCTCTTCTGATGTTCTTATGTTCTGTCCAATTAACACCCTTACTTTTCTTTACTAGAAGATGTGTTTTCTGTTTCAACTTTCCTTCCTTCCTACCTCTCAGATGGCAAAAAGTAAGATACACGTTTTTAGGTAGCAGAGGATGCAGCAATTTGCAATTCTCTCTCTTTAGTATTGGCGACATTTGCAATTTTGCTTGTAGAAGCAGAAGGCATTTATACTGTTGAGTTTTGTAAATAAGCCAACTAGTACAAATGTGTGTGTTCAGTTATTGTTGATGTGTTATGTGTTGCTGAAGCAGTGAAATAAGTTTAGGCTTCGTAAGATAGTCTGGATTGTTTCCCCCCCAAATGTCTTTTCTTTCCCTCCTGGAGGAGAGAAAAAAAACCCCAGGGAACACCCTTCCCATCCCCAGAACTTGGAACAGGAGCTAGAACCCGTACAGAACCAGCTTGACTCACAAAAGCTCATACCCTACCACAACTTTTGTTAGTCTTTAATGTTCTACTGGACTCTTACTCTTTTCTAGAACCAACTTAGTCACTCTGGTGTACCACAGCACCACACACTGCCTGGTAAAGGGGCAGCTTGTCTGCTACATAGCACAATATTTCTGAGTTCTGTGTTGGACCTTTTGCGCCCGGAAACCAGGCAGGCACTTTCAATGAATTAATGGTTGTTATTGAAAAAAGGCACAACTATTAAACAAGGTAATAAAAAATAGAAAGAAGAACAAGTTAACCTTAAGGTCACTGAAAGTCTGCATGCAAGGAAAATCCACTCTCTTAACCATAATTAAATAGACGAGCTGTAAAGCAAATCAAATTTCAAATAACTGTTAAAATTCTTTTAAAATCTTAGGAAACCCAATACACAAACACACTGAAACCTCACCTGTGTTCTTTGACAGTCTGAAACCTGAGTAACTCTTCTTTGTGACATTTTTATAGGCAAAGTGATTTCCACTATCTTTAAAAAAAATCATATAATTTTATCATGTGATGATTCTGCCGTGATATGATGAAATCATGTGCAGGTGTGCTGAGATCATATCTGATTGTGCTCGCTGACAGCTGAAGCAAGATTAAAAAGACTGTGTTTAGCACTTCACTCGAAATTAAAAGACAATAGTTCTTCTTTTATCTTCAGCTTCATTAATTGGCTGCCAAAGATAAAAGGTCCTGCACTTCTCCTGGCCATTTGGTGAACTCTCTACAAAGGGTGTGAAAAGTACACAAAAGCATACGTGTAACATGCATGTCATGACACCCGTGTCTTCCACGGGGGGGGGGAGGAGGGTAAGGTGGTGGAACGGTTTGCATCATTTGCATTCATGGCAAAAATGTTAAAGCCCCTTCTGTCACTTGGGCTGAAGCTCTCAGAGTGGTTCTGTGTTTCTGTTACGGTTCTCACTGCAGAAAAGTAAATACTGTGAAATGTTATACCTGTCTCTTGTATTGTCTCTTCTCTTCCCCCCGCAGGTAATCCCATGGTGAGCTGCCCCTGAATCTGACCCAAAATGGCCAGCGCGTCCGTCAAAGTGGCTGTCCGGGTACGGCCTTTCAATGCGCGCGAAATCAGCCGAGATGCCAAATGTGTGATCCAGATGCAGGGAAAAACCACCTGTAAGTTACCTCCCCCGTGTGGGTCTGCTCTCCTTTGGAGGCCAGGGTGGGCTTGCGCATGTTTATATGTGGGGGAGGGAATGAACGAGAGGAGTTGTGAGAAAGTCGCATGGCTTGAAAACCGGTGAAATCTGTCTGAAGTGAGGGGCGAAAGAGGCCTCTTAGCCAACGCTTCCCCGTGTGGGGGCCTGTCCAGTGCTGGTGGCTGAAGCCAGGCTGTGCCTGAGTGAGTGAGAAGCGCGTGGGGGTCCCCGCCAGCCCCAGTCACTGCAGGAGAAGGAAGACCGAGGAGGAGGAGACTGTCTGGACCCAAAAGGTCTGACTTACCACGAAGCTGCCCCGGTGTGTTGGGGGCACAGACACCTCCACTGGGTTGGCTGCCTTTCCAAAGAGTGGGGCAGCCCTTGGAGACCCCCATGGAGGATTGGCCTCTTTCCATGGGAGGCTGTTCCTACCAGGGGGCCGAGGCTCAGACTGCAACTCACATGCTAGAGCGCAGGGGGTGTTGACATGCTCCAGGACGAAGGGGCTTCTTCCCAGCAATTCAGCTTCCGATCGTGGAGCTCTGCTGGCCGGTGAGAGAGCCAGGTCGGAAGGAGGGGAAGGGCACGGGCTGGGGGGCGCTCAGGCCCCCTGCCCGCCACTTTGTGGGCATGGAGCATGACAACAGCCCCAGTTTTCCGGTGGGGACTGTCAGTAGGGCATTGCCCAGACCTCAGCACAGAAGGTGAGCTGCCTGTCCGCCTGCCTGTCAGGTGGCTGCTTGCTGATTTATTTCAGCGTTTGTATCCCACTGGCTGTTCCTCGTGGTTCGAGGTGGCTTGCAGTAACAATTAGTTCCCCCCTCCTAGTTTAAGACCAAAAATAACATAGCAAAACCCTCCACCCCGTCTCCCCCCTGCTGTTCAGGCCCTCTTCAGGGACCCTGTCCTGCCCAGCCGGAGCCACTGCAGAAGAGCCCCCCCCCCCCCCGGGGGGGCCCCGGGGAGTGGCAGAGGGGCCACCCTGAGGGATGCGTGTCGGTGCGCAGGGACAGGCGGGAGGCACCTTCGGATTTGTGAGTGGCCTGTCTCTGGAATGTCGCTTGCTCTCCAAACTCTGCAGAGTTGGAGGCAGGCCTGTTAGCTTAATTAAATCAGTTAAAAATAAGATGACAAGAAACATACTGAGTGGTGTCCCTGGATGAGCCAATGGAGGGGGGTCTCGGATATGGTGTCCAGCAGGGGTCATTTCGTAGAAAAAGAGGTGCAGGGGCTCATTAGCATAACATTTGCATATGCCACACCCCCTGACATCACTGGAAGTGTGTCAGAAGGCAACACCCACCACTCAGGCTCCACTGGACTGGACTGTTTTGGATTGCTAGCTATTTGGGGGGGGGACATGTGCAGATCTGCCCTCACAGAGGAGGGAGAGCTTGTGCCTGAATAAACCTTGGTCTTAAAGGTGCCACTGGACTGTTTTGGATTGCTAGCTATTGGGGGAGGGGACATGTGCAGATCTGTCCTCACAGAGGAGGGAGAGCTTGTACCTGAGTAAAACTTGGTCTTAAAGGTGCCACTGGACTGTTTTGGATTGCTAGATATGTGGGGGGGGGACACACATAGATCTGCCCTCACAGAGGAGGGAGAGCTTGTACCTGAAGGTGGGCCGGGGGGGGGGCTCTGCAACTTACCTGGCTGCTTCTTGCTCCTTGTGGCCCGACTGAGGGCTGCTGGGAGCAGGGGGCGGGGCTTGCTGCATGTGCCTGCCCCCTGGGCTCCTTACTGCTGGAGCTCCGCTCCTGTGCGCTCCTGCAGGAAATGACTCCTGGTGTCCAGGGTCCCAAGGTCAATTGTCCTTGAGATTCCCATGTATGAGCTGAGGCTGCCTTGTCAGACCAGGCCCAGGACTTCCAAGCTGCTGTGGCAGCCATGGGGGTCTCTCAGGGTCTGAGGGGCCCAGCCCTTAAAAAGGGATGTCCTTGGGGGTGCTCAGAGACCTGGCCTTGATGTTTGAAAAGCCAGTTGGCAGAGCGGCCAACACTCGCTTAGTTTGCCAACACTCTCCTGCCTTAGACACGGCTGGTCCGGCCATGCCGATCCTTGCTTTTGTTCCTTCCCAGCTGGATTTCTGTCACGCAGATCTGCGTGGGGCTGTCCTTGCAGAAAGGCTGGAAACTGCAGCTTGTCCAGAATGAGGCAGCCCCGTTATTTTCTAGGGCTAGACCATGGGAACAGGCCCTTCCCGTCTCGAAACAGCTCCACTGGACTCAGAACCAAACTGACAGCCAGTGGCGGGTGCTGCTGCTGCTGCTGCTGTTTAAAGCCCATCGGGGCCTAGAACCAACAACTCCGGTCTTCAGGCTGCCACCTGCTGGCTGTTACCCTTCTTAGGCTGGCGAGCCTGGCATTGACTCAGGGCCTTCCTACTCTGTGGCATGGAGCCCCCTCACGGGGAGATCTTTGGAAGACACGGCAAGGTTATGCCAGGGTTTCCGGTGGGCTGTGAACGGCTGCATAGGGAAGGCGGCATGGCATAGCCTGGTCTTGTCAGATCTCGGAAGCCAGGCAGGGCTGGTGCTTGGATGGGAGATGGCCAAGGAAGACTTTGCAGGGAAAGGAGATAAGAAACGACCTCTGCTTCCCGATGGCCTTGAAAGCGGCTTGCTGGGGTCACCCTAAGTTGGCTGCAACTCGATAGCACGCTGCGCACACAAACAGCTGGCATCTCTTGGGGGGGGGGAGTGGGTATTTGGGAACTTTCTTGTAACTGGTTTTAGTCTGTAATGCTTTAATTATTACCTGTTAGTCGCAGGCACAAATATTTCAGTAAATATATTTTAATAAGTCTAAAGTACCATTTTAATGGCCAGGGGCTCTTCTGTGGCGGCCCCTTCCAAATCCTGTCCTGGCTGCTTACATCACTTCCTCCTTACGAGGAGCTCAGAGTGGCACATGTGGCTGCCCTCCCCCCATTTTATCCCCACCACAACCTGAGAGCGCAGGACTGGCCAAGGTCATCCAGTCAGGATTTGAACTTGGGCCTCTCGGCTCCTAGCTCAGTGCTCTAGCCAGTGTTCCCTCTAAGCTGAGTCAGTGTGAGCTAGCTCGCAGTTTTTTAGCCTCTGGCTCACACATTGTTGTCTTCGCTCAGGAAGGATGGGGCTCCAGAAGAGCAAACTAATTGATGCAGCAGCCAAATCGCTCGCTCACAACTTTAATGCCAGCAGCTCACAAAGCAGAATTTTTGCTCACAAGACTCCACAGCGTAGAGGGAGCATTGGCTGTCTCTAACCCCTCTACTGGGTTCTGCAGGGTGGTATGATTAACACTTGGAATTCACTGCCACAGGAAGTGGTGGTGGCTACAAGCATGGACGGCCTCAAAAGGGAATTAGCTAAGCATATGGAGCAGAGGTCCATCAGTGGCCCCTATTAGCCACAAGGTATAGATAGGGACTCTGGGGCAAGTGATGCTCTGTCTTCTTGGTGCTTGGGGGGGTCAACAGTGGGAGGGCTTCTGGTGTCCTGGCCCCACTGGTGGACCTCCTGATGGCACTGGTATTTCTGGCCACTGTGTGACACAGAGCGTTGGACTGGATGGGCCTTTGGCCTGATCCAACATTGGCATCTCTTATGTTCTTATGTTCTTATGGCCTTTCTCTCCCCCTCCCCCCAATCTGCTGTGGGCCTGTAAGTCTTGATCTGGACACAGAGCTTGGGGAGTCTGAATCCGGCGCCAGCAGAAACGGAGAGAGGGCTTTTGCTTCAGCAGTGCCCTGTTGCCATTGGGCCCAGTTCTTCCCCAGACTGAGTGCATTTGAAGATTTTATTAGTGAGGGGGGGGGAGAAACTGGGGGGACACCGGAGGGGGCGAGTCCTCTTGCAAGAAAAAAAAAGAGTTGCGTGCCGACTTCATGGAGCTCTCAGCCTTTTGTTCCAAACTGTGTCCTAGAGACACGCTGAGAGGAAGTGTTGGGTGGGGTCTCCTGCTCGGAGGGAGGGCTCCGGTTTTGATGGGATTCTGGCCGGCTCTGCAGATTTCACAGCTTATCAAAACAGGGCTGCAATAACATCTTTGAGGGTTCAGTGACATTGAAGTAATCCTGCTGCCTGGTAATGGGGGCCGGTGGGTTTGGTCTCTGTCAGAGTCCCCGGTGGTTCTGTGTCAATATCCCCCCCCCCAAGAAACGGTGTCGCTTTCAAGGGAGCCTCTCTCCCAGAAACAGGCCATGGGATTCTTCTTCGTCCCTCCCTCCCCCCCAGTGCTCAGTTCTTGACGCAAGCCTCCCCCCCCAAGCGAAGCTGCGACCAGGAGGGGGGGGGCTGTTTGTCCTCTTCTATATTTAGCCCTGCAGCAGCTGAGAGGCCTTTGCAGGGGGTCTGGCCCTTTCCCACAGCACTGTCTTGTGGCTCCTGAAGTCAAGAAGGGACACCTTCACACACACATCCCTCCCCAAATACATCATCCCGGATACCGCCCACCCTCCCCGCAGCTATGTGAGCGATGCCTGGAATGCTGCCCCCCCCTGCTCCTAGGTCGGCCCTGGGAGGATGTGGGTTTCCTCGAAGGCTTGATGAGGGTGCGGCTGTGTTTGTCTTTCTCTTCTGACACCTTCCTCTGCAGCAGCCTCTGCTCTGAGAGGGCCCCTCGAGGGGCTTCTCTTTTTGCTGTGGCCAGCTCGGAGCGTGCCCCCCACACTGGCGTGACCAGTCTGCAAGGGCCACCAGTAAGATCAGAGTCACAGGCAGCACTCTCCTCCCTAACCCTCCCTTTCTATGGAAAAAGTGTGGGGGCGGGGGAGAAGCGGGCACACATGTACTAGAAGCAGAGAAAAAGGAAGACGGACCACCCCCCCTGCCTGCCTCCCTCAGTTTTCCATCTGTCTGTCCTCCTGGTCTTCAGGTCTTCTGTGAGCGCCTGTTGCCAGGGGATGTTGGTGGTGGCCAGTGTTCCCTCTATGCTGAGTGAGTGTGAGCCAGCTCATAGTTTTTTAGCCTCTGGCTCACACATTTTTGT